CATTGCGTCGCTAACGCGCATCTATGTCGATGCAAGCATATTTTATCTATGTTTCGTCTCTGTTAAATTATTCCGTCGAGCAAATTGTGCATCGATACAAAAACTTAAATAACATATACAATATTTATTTACTTAACCCACTGGTGCATCAACCCAAAATGGATCTTGGCGTCCGAAACAAGAGATCGCCAAAGTCGCCTGTCTTGAGCATTCTCCTGCCAGTCCATCGCTTGTAGCTCCCGCAGATACAGCTCTACGGCGTCGCGCCAGCCGTACCCGGGCCGACCGATGGGGTCTCGAGAAACGCTGTAATATTTATAATGAAACGCGAGTGACAAGTTCAAGATATTTTATAGGACTGACGTACATGTATGCAGTTAAATTAGGTATTTTATATATAGTCGTTTTCTAGATACCTAATACCTACATTACACAATTTAATAAGAAAACAAAATAGGAAAATATCACATTCGATATATAAAACGGTTTAAGACCGTAATATAATCTAAACTATAATCCAACGAATATCTTTTAGGTCAATATTTGATCGTCTAGTCTAGACATACGTCGCGACATAGTTGTACCATTTAACCCCACCCTACTCCCAACAACAAGAAAATCGATAACAATTAAAACTTAGGTCTGATATAGCCCCATATATAGTTATTTGGTCTATAATCGTGACCATCTTACTTCTTACTATATAATATTATAAATGCGAATGTTTAGATGGATGGATGTTTGAAGGTAATTTGACATACATAGATATACATAGAGAGCGTCGGTGGTTCAGGGGTTCAACATTTGATTTGTTATCTGCAGGTCCTGCGTTCGAATCCCGCCATGTATCAACGTGTTTTTCGTTTTCAGAAAGAAGAAATTCAAAGATATGTGTGAAGACAACCAACCCGCACTTGGCCAGCGTGGTTGACTATGGCCTAATCACCCTTAACTTAGGGTAGGCTCCGAGCCCCTCAGTGGAGAGAGTGAAAATGATAAAAATCTTTGATCTTATAATAGTTGTACAGGGCTTTAAATAAAAAAAACCTTGTTCGTAGAAAAATGTGTTAACATGAATAACAAAAAGACATAGAAAACTGATCTGACATTACTAAATTCAAAAGTTTAAATTTCTTCTTTTTTCTAAGATTTAATGGCAGCTAAAGTGTAAAACTCCTTGAACAATAGTATTAAATGATACAAAAGTTATCAGTAATACGATTTAGTTTTAACATTATTGCAGTATAAACTCTATTCAATAGCACGTGAGTCGATTATCGCTTAACTGGAATCGAAAGGAACAAACGGTTAATTGCTAATAGGATTACAATGACACTAATGGAATAAAGACATGTTCAAACTTAATTGAACCTACGAGCGTATCTTGAATCAAGATTTTATAGTAATTGTATTAAAGGCACAGAATATTATAACGATTTGGTTAAGTTTGAGCATTATGTTTAAACTAGCTGTCGCCCACGATTCCGTTCGTACGGTCGTAACCTTAATCAGTAACCTATGTGTTCTTCTAATCACATCCATCCATCTAAACATTTACATTTATAATATTAGTAAGATCATAGAAACAGAGTGTCGGTGGCGCTGTTTAGCGCTTCTAAAACTGCACGTACAGGGGGCTAGAGAAAATGGATTCACTCCAAAGCGATTCCAAAATGAATTTCCAAATTGTATGGAACTGACGCGCGACAATCACGTAACTTAAAGAAAGTTATTGTCAGTTTTATACATTTTTAAGTTCGTTATAGATTCGCTTTGGAGAGAATGCAATTTGGTAGCCCCACAGGTTCGATCCCCGTAAAGTTCTTCGTGTAATATGTAATTAAAAAATTTATAACCTTGTTAAATTGAAATTTAATTTTGCGTCCCGGAGGCCAAAATTAGTCATCTTTCCCTTCCCACCCTTTTTCTTATAAGGAAAGGATGAGAAGTGGAAGTGGACTTTCCGGATGAGAGGATGCATGGAAAGGGAAAATATTTTCTTTCTGTGCATCCTCTCCTCCGTCGATTAAAGGTAGGCAACGCATATGCAATTGCATATGTCTATGGGCAACGGTTACTTCGCTATTTCAGCGATTTCAGGTGGCCGCTCGCTCGTTTGCCACCTTATGATATAAAAAAAAAACAATGAACATCCTGTATAATATTTGACACATTTGATATATTCGATGCCTAAGCAATTGGGTCACGAATTCAGTTTCGGAATAATGACGTGACCGATAAATGTGTGTTATTTATTGTATCATAATGCCGCGCCGTTGCGATGCGAATATTTTATATCCGAAAATATTTCTATCACATTTTATGTTATATATTATTTGTTGTTATATACATATTATATACAAGCTACGATTTATACTTAGCTATGATAATCTGCTGCAGAAACAGTTATTAACATTTACTTCATTAGGAGCGGTGGCTCAGGAGTTAAGTGTTTTCTGATCTGACGTTCTTACTTAGTCCGCGGGCGCATCGACCCTAAGTGGGTCTTAGCCTCCGACACAAGAGATCGTCAAAGTCGCCTGTCTTGAGCCCGCAGATCCAGCTCTACGGTGTCTCGCCAGCGACACCTGGGCGGACCTATGGGTCGGCGGCCAGTCGGGGTCCTGAGATACGCTGCTCTGATTTTTTGATCTTCCCTGACGTTATTACGGTGAAGAAATTCAAAGAAATTTATCAATTAAATTATATCAATTAAAATTATTATGAAATATAATTTAAAAACAAATACAAACATACAAATCTATTGTATTCCAAAAGTCTCTTTCAATCCCTGTTATTTTATTCAGTGTTGAAAGGGCTTCCCGCCTTTCGGGAACTATTCGAGAACTTTCTGGAAACTTCTCGACTTACTCAAGAGGATTACAGGCCGAGGTGTGTACGCTTTCACTAATAAATCCCCGCGATCCGAGCCAATACGATGTTATTTCGTATTCAAGTTTATACTACTCGAGCGAGAAATCTCTCGAACAAAAACTTCAGTATTGAAGTCAATAGAGTTTTATGCCTATTTTTAATACTACACTGATTGCATCTGACTTATTCTTTAGTTTATACTTTATTTACTTGTTTTCCTTATTTCAGAGAGAAAAATGTGGGTTCAGTAACCTTGAAATAGACGGCCTAACATGAAATGTTGCGAAGAAAGCATTCCTAATGTCATGGACATTTGTTTGAGATTCGATGATACTTTACGCACGATAACGTTCGACAACTCAAATACTTTTGTCGATGGTGTTATGAATTTCTCACATATTTTCGCTATAGGCCGTCAGAGCCAAAAATTGTGAGAAAGTTGCTATTTTGTTTTTTTCTTCTCCCTCGTGTAACTGGGCTCACTGTGACGTGACCTTGAAAATTCTCTCTTGATGCTCTTTCGATTTTCAAATCTTCTTTTATTTTCTAGCATATATGTTCGATTTAAGATAATTGGAAATATATACCGTAGCGTTCGTTGCGTTATATTTGGCTCGTTCGACTGATGTCAGACCTTAGGACCGGCAACACGTGTCGCTACGTGAACGACCCAAATATAGCGCAACGAATGCTACACTTCCGTAAAACAAATATAATACAATGAATAAGTTTCCCATAATAATATATCATTTGGGAATTACTACTACGTATATTGTTAGCAATTCCAATACGCTTCGATCCCGAGAGATATTTGTCACGAGGTTCCCAGGTTGCATTTGTTCTGCAAACTTTTGCACAGTCATAATTTACGTGTTTAGTAATGTTTGTGAATATCCGATATGTTTGGAATATTGGAATATTCGGTTTCGATTTTATGATCTTTATTTACTCATAAAAAACACAAAGTTTCGCTTACAATGAGTATGAATGTAAAATATAACATAAGGCCTTGCGGGCTAATACATAATATAGTAACAATATATAAAATTAATATAAATCAAAAACAGACCTTAGTACAACTATAAGAAGTTAAATTGAACAGAAATTATATCTATATATATATATATATATAAAATATTGAGAATAGATTATGACATTACAGCGATGAAATATGATTTAAGTTTGTTTTTAAAAACTTTAACACTTTCACAGTTCTTTATCTCTGGCAGTTTATTAAACATTTGAACGCCTTCACTTCGAATTTAAATTAATACATATCTACATTATCTTGCCCTTTCTTTAAAGAGGGACATAGAATGCACATAATCTATACGTATAACATTAGAGTGTATATTAGCGTTGGTAGTTAGGAAGAAAATCCGACACTGTGCCGATGTACTGGCGCAACACTAGCCTTACTGAATTCGACGTTTATGTCCCCATACTATTCATTCTGACACTTGAAATTGTAATGACAGCGCGCCATTCGCGCCAAAGGATTCTAACTAATAATGTCTAAAAGTAATAAAGATTTTTTTAAATTTTCATTTGCCTGCCTGTCTGTCTGCAAGACCGCGTTTGTTCCGGGTAATCTCCGAAACGGCTAGCCGACTTTACAAGACTTTCACAGGAAGGTGGTTGATATGTGGCATTATTGTAGGCTTCTTTTATTTCTGCGATGAAGTCGACGGTTATTCATGGAACAACTTCTACTGTGCTCATCAACCTGCCCTCATCCCTATTGACTCTCCTTCCTACGCATATCCTCCTTCACACAGTCATTCCATACTTTTTTTTGGTCTTCCTCTACCTTTGTAGCCGTCCACATTCAATCTCATTACTTTTTTGCTTATATCATCATCATCCCTTCTCATAACATGTCCAAACCACGCTAATTTTTTACTCTTCAATTTCTCCATCACTGGCCATACTTTCAAACTTCCTCTAATATACACATTTTTAACTTTATCCTTTCTTGTCACACCACACATCCATCTGAACATACGCATTTCAGTTACATGCAATCTTCAACTTAATACTGTGCTGTAATTAATATTCGGTAATAGAACAATAATTCATCCTCGCATCTTTCCATCTTAATTAAACGACAATGTTTATTGTTTCAGGTGAAGGATGAGTTAGCATGAATAATATGAGTTCAGAGGACGAGAGCGCTCCGTGACAAGATGGCGGCTAGGGCATTTGTCATATTCACGCTCCTCGCTCAAGCTGTGAGTACCTTGTTTGTACATTGTAAATTTAAGATAAATAAATCTTACTAATATTATAAATACGAACGTCTAGATCAGTGGTTCCCAAACTTATTTAGTCTACTGCCCACTTAGAGAATAAATATTTTTTTAGCGCCCTCATATTTGCACATATTTAAAGACCACTATAATTTCACATTAAATAAATTAATTATTGTGACCTATATATGTATATTAACGGAGATTTCTAAACGCAACTTTTACTATAACCCGCAACTTGAAACCTGCAGCGCCCACTAGGGGGCGTTATCGTCCACTTTGGGAAAGACTTGTCTAGATGGATGTTTGTTTGAAGGTATCTCTGGAACGGCTCAGATCTCACTGAGTGTCATAGATGTATAATATAGTCTGGAATAATAGTATTGAATCTTATTAATATTATAAATGCGAAAGTTTAGATGTAAGGATGAAAGGATGTTTGTTTGAATGTATCTCCAGAACAGCTGAACGGATCTCGATGAAATTTTGGTATACATATAGAATATAATCTGGGAGAACACATGGACCACCATTATGTTTTTTTATTAAGGCGCTGTCAGAGGCAAATCGCTTACTAGAAAGCGTAGAACAGGATATCTAAAAAGATTTGGTTTGTCATATTTTATTATATATAACTTCAGTCCTTTAACTAGCTTCGACGTGGACGAAGTCGTGGGCGACAGGTTTTAAAATTATAAAACTGTAAACCGATAAATAATATAAGTCAATTAGAGTTATTATTTTAAAATAATAATGCTAGCATATTAAACATATCAAATTTAATTAGGAAACTTACTCAATATTTCGGTATGTCGACTCGCAAACTTTATTACGAGTTGTTTATCAACCAAACAAATTCTACTTATATTTGTTTAATGGATACGAGTGACAGAAAATTTGCAAAAAGTTTTTAATACATTTTAGCGTATTTTATTTATAAAACAAATAATTCTTCAAAGCTACCCTTTAATATAGATTTCTCCCAGTAAATAACACTACTTCAAATTCCAGACTATATTCTATATGTATCTTATCATCCAGATTTTATCTTTAAATGAGAAATTCTTCTATATATATCTCGGAATCGGCTCCAACGATTTTTATAAAATTTAATATATAGGGGGTTTCGATCGTAGGGATAAATCGATCTAGCTAGGAATCATTTTTATAAAATGTCATTTTTTATTCGTGTTTTATCGATAATCAACTTAAACATAAACTTAAGTTTTTCTATCGGTAACATCGAAAAATATTATTCATATTTCATCATTTTATTAGTAATTCGTACTTAAATATAAATTCCAAAAAAACACAATCTAAAAAAAAATGGTCATCCAGGTACTGACAAATTTAATCGAGATGCGTTCAATTGATCAGCAGATACATCCTAACAACTAAGTTTTTAACTTATTAAGTAAGTAAATATCTTTTTTTAGTATTTAAATTAAAAAATAATAAAAGCAAATAAACTTAATAGTACTGTTATCATAAAAAGGAATAAATTTAAAAAGCGGAACAGAGTTAAATTACTTAGTATCGTTCAGCAAACATTTCGCTAAACGAATTCCATGTAATAAATCAACATTTGCTCAATAATTCTGCAACTCAGTGAACTTGCCGGAGGCTAAAGAAAAAACAAACGCTGCCAATTGAGAGAGAGAAAACGAAGACGTATCCTTCGATTTTTTTTTTACTTCATACTTAATAGATTTAAGTATAACTCTTTTTGTACTGTAGATACTGTTTTCTGATACTTTATCTTTATGATATAAAAAAAAAACTTACTTAATAGCCTATGTGCTATTAAAGACCATAACTATCTTTGATTCAAATTTCAACCACATTTAGCTGTTCTGGAGTTGAGTTGTAACATTTATACAAACTTAAGCATATTTTAAATTGGAAAGAAATAAATTATACTTCCTTAGTTAGCAAATAATAGTAATATGTAGATAGACTTACCTCTAAAATAGATGCGCCAGTGGCCTAGTGGCTGTAAGTACGGAATACCAAGCACACGATCGTGGGTTCAATTCCCATTTAAAAATTGTCGCGAAACACAAACTTAAATATTAATTTGAATAGTTCTCTTACTATCTTACTAATATTATAAAGGCGAATGTTTGGATGGATGTTTGTTTGAAGATATCTCCAAAACGGCTGTACAGATCTCGATGAAATTTGGCATACATATAGTACATAGCCTGGTAAAACACATAGGCTACTTACTATCTTTTTTTTATCTGTGAAACTAACAAACATATGAAAATATGCTTTTAATATGGAATACAGTGGTGTAGGCACTAATTCTATGATATTCCATTTTCCAGGCTTGAAAGAAATCTGATCAATTCTCTAACTAAACGAGATATTGTTTAACATCTAGATTGGATTTTATCCAATAACCTTTTTATATGAAGTGTATGCAGATTACGTGATGATTAAAAATAAACTTTATTTATAAGAGATTAAAACTGAAAATTGAATATTAACCATATTGTGAGTGCTAGATAATTAATGTAGCATCGTTTATTGATAGGATGCATAGGAAGGGGAAATATTCTCTTTCTATGCGTCCCCTCCCCCGTTAACTAAAGGTTGGCAACGCATCTAAAACTGCTAATGTCTATGAGCAACGATGGCTTCGCTATTTTCGCGATTTCACTAGGCCGCTTGCTCATTTGCCACATTGTAATAAAAAATTCTACTTATTAACTATGTAATTAACAGCCATCCCTTTTTTTTCTTTAAAGGAATAAAGATAGCGATAGTTTTTGGTACATTTGTTCTTCGGTTATACGGCATTTAAGATTACTTACACTACAACAGTTCTGTTTCCATTGTATCTACTAAACATGTTACATAAACAGTAGTTAGCAATAAAACGAGCCAATTTATTACTAATGCAAATTTCTATGTCAGATACAAGCTACGTTCGCTTCGAAGCCTCTGCTTTGCGCAAAACATTAATGCAGGCTACACACGTCAGTACAACATGAGACAGAACGGGGACTGCGGTACCGCTATTGTTTGATTTTTTATATCATAACGTGACAAACAAACGGTCACCTGAAATCGCTGAAATAGCGAAGTGACCGTTGCCCATAGACATACGCAATTGTATATGCATTGCCTACCTTTAATTGACGGAGGAGAGGATGCACAGAAAGAAAATATTTTCTCTTCCCATGCATCCTCTCATCCGGAAAGTCCTCTTCCACTTCCCAGCCTTTCCTTATAAGGAAAAGGGTGGGAAGGGAAAGAGGACTAAATTAGGCCTGCGTGACGCACACTCATCAGACGAAACGCGGAATTGCTTCCACTTGACGCCTGTCTTCTGTGTGGTCGTGGTATTTCACCGGGCTAGCCGGGCCAATTCTTGCGATGATGTTAAAGCGGGCTCTTCCACTGTTAAGGTAACACAATGAAGTCAAAAGACTTTTTCATGTACGATTTTGATAATTAATGTTACTTTGTTTTTAAGGCTGGTTTATCTCGGCATTGTGTTACAAACACTAAGAGTACTGCGCGTTCTATTGCCCTACCTCACTATAACCTTCGTGTGAAACTAGCATTACTCCTGTATTCGTAGGAGCGCATAATTTCTGATTATTACCTAACTGCCACCAATGTGTTTGGCATAAATTGTTATTTAACGAGATTTTACAATTATTTCTTTTAAATAGCTATAATTTTTATACCATTTATCATAAAGAATTTTTTTTTAATTTTTTCCTTCATATTTAAATGAACATTTAATTATTATAAATATTATTAACTCTAAATTAAAAAAAAAAGTAAATTTACATATGACAATAGAGAAGTATGGAAGAATAATATAATACAACTGTAGCTATCCCCCGTATGAAGTAAGGCAAATTGTTGACGGATCTCTACATAAAACAGTTTGTGTTTCTGTGTTTCTTACTAGATGTCGCCCGTGACTCCGTCCGGTATTAAAAAACTTAATCTGTAACCCACATACGTGTTCTTCCAAACTATGTTCTATGTTTATGCAAAATTTCGGCGAGATCCATTAAGCCGTTGTGTAAGATACCTTCAAACAAACATTCATACATCCAAACATTCGCATTTAAAATATTAGTAAGATTTAATATAGCTATTACCTTTTTAATATTTGAAATATATATAAATAAACATATTAATCTAATAAAATTCAACCCATTTCAAACTCATACAACACGAGTTATGAAATAAAGTTTGAAACTAGTTTTAGAAACAAGTTCAACGTTATTTGTGTTCAAAATATTGTCATCTATATGAATTTTCAACACATATTGTTTAACCCCGCTGATGAGCGACAATCACGTGACTCATCGAAAGTTATTGTCAAATCTATACATTTTTGAAGTTCTTTATGGATTCCCTTCGTAGCTAAAGCACTTTGTCTAACCTCCCATGTTCATTTGTAAGCGATCCATAGCTCATTTGCCCCCTTTCTATAAAAAAAACAAATCCATAGTTGCTAGAAAAGTAAACTACACATGCCTAATAAGTATCCTTTCGTAGTAATATTGTAATTACGTGTCGCAAAGTAAATGCTCGCAAACTTTATTTGTATTTAAAACTGCACCGCACTGCGCGGGTATGTGCTCTCAAACGATTGTTGTCAACTAACTTTTACTATTTCTATAGAAATGTGGAATACAGAAGTTAGCTACGTTTTTAATTAGCATACAAGTTTTATTAATTAAATTTTAATCTATATGTCGGAGATTTCCGAGCGTTTTACTATTTACTAGTATCCTATGTCTCTCTCCTGGCACTAAGCTACCTCCTCACCAATTTTCAGCCATATCGGTAAAGCCGTTCTTGAATTATAAATAGTGTAACTAACACGACTTTCTTTTATATATCTATCTGATATTGCTTTATTCAGTCAGTGCGCACACCGGCGCGGGCGCTGTCTCTAGACCAAGCCTGTCAGTTGTCAAACGACCACGCGCAGTACTGACAGATAC